ATCTATCTATCTATCTATCTATCTATCTATCTATCTATCTATCTATCCATTTATCTGTGAAATGCCCCTTACGCATCATCACAAAATCTCCATAACTGTAAAGCCTACACACTTGAAATTTGGCACATATGTTCCTCTTGGCTTCTAGGTGCTCACTAAGAAATGATTTTTCGAAATGACCATCAGAGCCATTAATATTTCCTATATTTTTATTATTAACCCGCTCTGATGCTTAGGAGTTCTCCTCCCCCTCCCCACCATAAGTTTTCCCCCTTATTTTCCTCCCCAAAAACTAAGCTCGATCACCATAGTTTTGTAGCAGAGCACAGGTATCGAGCTAGTACACACACACACACACACACACACACACTGCTATTGAATGCTGTCCTCCACACACAAACACACACTTCAGGAAAGAAAACGTAAGTTCCCAGGGGCTGAAACAAGCCAAGTTCCCTTCCCCTCCCATCACACACGCACCTTTCCACAGCCATCTCCACCGTTGCTGGCACCGGTTCCGCTTTTGCTATTTCAGGGAGCTGCACCAGGGTGGCCCGCGGGAGGCAGGGCAGAGCTCCCTGGGCAGCCAGCCAGCCAGCCAGCCACCCTGAGGGTGTTCTTTCCCTCTGGCAGGTTCTCCAACTCGTGCTTCTTGGATACAGACGGACAGGCCACCTGCGATGCCTGCTTCCCGGGCTACACAGGACGCCGCTGCGAAAGGTAAAAAGACGCAGAGGCTCTTCCTCCACCTGCCCCACCCCAGAAGCAGCCCCGTGGCACTCACCTGCGTGGAGGGGAGGGGGTGAGGTTATGGCCAGGGGGCATATCCGAGGGAGGGCTTTCCTTTCTCACCGGCCGTTGTCCGTCCCCACTTTTCCCAGGTGCGCTCCTGGCTATGAAGGCAACCCCATCCAGCCAGGTGGGAAGTGTGTGCCGATTGGAGGAGGCCCCCAGATTCCAGGTAACCTCCTTGGGATCCCAGAGGGCTATTTTAAAGTCCCTGGAGGTCCAGCGGGACTGACCACCCTCGGGGGGACGGGGAGGATGTTGAGAAAGCCTGCTGGGATGGAATTTCTGCTTTTATTCCAGCTGTTCTTGGTTGCCCCATCCGAGACACGTGATTTGCTATAACCTATGACCCTGTTTTCCCCCCCACACACACACACACAACCCTCTGGGTGTGTCACAAATCAGATTCTCCAATGAAACACGTTCACGGGCTGGGTGTCATCAATCACATTCTCCAATGCAGGAATTTAGTGGGCAGAAGATCCGGTAGCCTAGGCTACAATCGCCACAAGATAAAGAGTTGGAATGTGCTTCTGGCTTTCATCCGCCGCGCTGCTCCCTCTGGCCTTTCTCCCCCTCAGCCCCTCCTTCTTACGGCAACTCGGAAATAGGCCTAGGGGTGATTTACGAGTTGACACCCTTCTCCTAGAGGCTGGCTCCTTGCCCTGCCCATCCTCCACAGCCAGCCTCACATCCCAGAGATAGGTAGGGTCAACTAGGCTGGGCCTGAGGGCGGCGCTCTCCTCTACCTACTTGTCTCTCTCTCTCTCTCTCTAGAGAAGGAGGTTGTCTGCGACGAGCGAGGGGGCAGGAAGGCCTCGGATGGGGGCTGCCAGTGCAAGGTAGGCTGGTGGCACTGGGGTGGGTGGGAGGCGCATCGCCTTAGGAAAAGAGGCAATTTGCAAGCGCACACACACACGCACACGCCTGTTTCAAAACCCAGCTCTTCCCCGAGAGGTTGGTACCCCTGGGACAGTGAAGTCGTCTGGGGCTCAGCCAAATAAAAAGGGAGGCCTCCGATTTGGACCTTGGATGCTGAATTGCCGAATTAGGAAGCCCGGTCCGTGTGTGTGTGTGTGTGTCTCTCCATGCAAGCAGGCACACGCCAGTCCATGCTTCAGGAAGGAGTTGTGCCAAGCAAATCTTTGCCCCCAAAGCCCCCCACTCCCGTTTCCCTTTCGAACGCCTGAATCCGAGAGGGCGTGAGATCAACGTATTAGAAAGCGTTTGGCCCTGCAGGAGGCGAATCCCAGGGTCTGCCTGGCAGAATCCCCTCCTCCTGGAGTGGGGGGTGGGGGGGAAGAAATCCAGGGGGGATCCCCGGAGCGTGGAAAGGCTGACCAGGAGCCAATAAGCGGGATGCTCGGCTTAAGGCGGCTGGGTGACCTCAGGCATCCCTGCTTGGCAGCCAGAGTTTAGGGTGGAGGCTGTTTACAGAGGCAGCCACTGTTTGGCAACTTGCGTGAATTCTCTCTCTCTCTCTCTCCTCTCAATCCTTCTTTCTCAATCTCTCCTCTCTCTCTTTTTCAATCTCTCTCTCCTCTCTCAATCTTTCTCAATCTCTCCTCTGTCTCTTTCTCTCTGTCCTCTCTCTTTCTCTCTCTCTCTCTCTCTCAATCTTTCTCAATCTCCCTCTCTCTCAATCTCTCCTGTCTCTTTCTCTCTGTCCTCTCTCTCTTTCTCAATCTCTCTCTCTTCTCTCAATCTTTCTCAATCTCTCCCTCTCTCTCAATCTCTCCTCTGTCTCTTTCTCTCTCTCTCCTCTCTCTCTCTCTCTCTCTCAATCTCTCTCTCCTCTCAATCTTTCTCAATCTCTCCCTCTCAATCTCTCCTCTGTCTCTCTCTCTCTCTCTCTCAATCTCTCCTCTGTCTCTTTCTCTCTCTCCTTTCTCTTTCTCAATCTCTCTGTCTCACACAATCTTTCTCAATCTCTCCCTCTCTCTCAATCTCTCCTCTGCCTCTCTCTCTCTCTCTCTCTCTCTCTCCATCTCAATCTTTCTCAATTTCCCTCTCTCAATCCTCTCGTCTCTCTCTCTCTCTCTCTCAATCTTTCTGTCTCCATCTCTTCCTCTCACCAGCCCAACGTCCAGGGGCCATCGTGCAATGAGTGTGCCACGGGCAGCTTCCACTTGAGCCACAGGAACCCCGAGGGCTGCCTCCGCTGCTTCTGCATGGGGGTCTCACGCCAGTGCGCCAGCTCCTCCTGGAACAGAGATCAGGTAGAGCCCTGGGGGCCGACTCCTTCGAGGAGGGGTTGGGGGGTGGGGGTTGGGGCACGGGCAACGCCAGAAAGGCACAGCTCGGACATTCCCTCCAAGGCTCTTCCTGCGATTGATTTCCCCCCCCCGCCTTTCATTCCTGTCTCTAGGTGCAGCTGGCTCACGAAGATGCCCAGCGGGGTCAGTTCAGCCTCGCCAACTCGGCCAACACCCAGACGGTCAGCGAGGGGATTCGCTTCACGGGCGGCTCGGAGCTCACCTTCTCTTCCTTCCACATTCTGCCACGGGACGTCTACTACTGGGTGTTGCCCGAGCGCTTCAGGGGAGACAAGGTGCTTTGGGAGGATGAGAAGGAGGGGACGGGAGTGGGGGTTCAGATGGAGGGTGGGAACGTCCCGTACTGACTGAGCCTCCAAGCTGCGCCCCCCGAAAGTTGTTGTTAGTTGCGAAGTCGTGTCCGAACCATCGCGAGCCCCATGGACCACGTTCCCCCAGGCCTTCCTGCCCTCTATTATCCCCTGGAGTCCATTTAAGCTCACGCAATTTCAGTGACTCCGTCCAGCCCCCTCCTTCTCTGCCGTCTTCTTCTCCTTCCTTCCTTCCTTCCTTCCTTCCTTCCTTCCTTCCTTCC